TTTTTTTTTACTGATTAACGCTAAATTCGTTAAATCAATACAAACATATCAGTTTAAGGTATAAATAATGATCCATTGATTATTCTGTGCTGACCGGACTTCTCCTTTAAACACTTCCAGGAAGCCTGAAGATCCAATGACCTACGTCAAACTCAAACTAGAAATCAGAACTTCGCTCTAATCGATTATTTACTAAAACATAATTTACCCTTCGTGTTTCCAGAGTATCCGGAGATCCTTACGGGTTACATTACAAGAAGGTGTTTCTTCAAACCTGCATTGTTAGACTGCTCTTTTTCTTGGTTAAATAAAAGTAGCATTTTTCCATTCTTTATGCTGAGATGTAGGAAGTTGAAGCAGGTGTGAAAAGAAGCAGATTCCTCCCTAGTTTAGACGAGGGGGAAATATAGATAAACACGTTACTGTGTTTAAGGTTCTCACGTCCTTTTCTGCTGTGAACAGAAAGCAGGTGTCTGAAAAGTTTATCTGATTAAATTTATGTCCTTGATGAACTGAAGTGTTTCTCTTGGGAAGACTCATTGTTGGTGTGTGTGAAGTGTCTGTATGCAGGGGTTGGACCTTCAACCAGAGCATCACTAACAGCTCAGCTGTAAATGTTATTCTCTGAAAAGTAAAGTAAAACTATTTCTTTCTCGCATATCAACTCTCAGTGCTCATTTTACTTCACTCTACTTATAGGAGTAACTGTTATTTAAAACCTTAACTTAATTAAACCTGTGTGTGAAAAAACATTGACGATGTGTTGATTATCCTAGCGTCTGATCTTAAGGTGGTATCATTTCCACCTCTTCTTAGCGTCAATAAAGAGTTATTTTACTTTATTAGAAAGTCAGCTTTAATGTGGATTATTTAAAGTCGCAGAGAAATCATATTTAAACATATATAAAAATGTATTCTTTATATTGCCCCGAAATTTAGAAAGTTTCTATTAAAAAAAAAAAAAATTCTTTCTTAAAATCTGTTTTTTTTTTCCCGTTATCTTCTGCAGGCCAGTTAGTTCTACGTCAGCCTGAACACCTAAATTCAGCCAATCATATATCAGCGGTCATCTGTCAATCACATTTTTTTGGTCACGGCCAGTGTTGGGCACGTTACTTTGAAAAAGTAATTAGTTATAGTTACTAGTTACTTCTCCCAAAAAGTAACTGAGTTACGCCACAATAAAAGTAACTAGTTACTAGTGAAAGTAACTATTGCGTTACTTTTGCGTTTCTCACCACCCAGCCCCCACCTTCTCGCCGTGTGTTTCAAAGCCAGCTGAATAGATCGATCGATCGATCGATCGATCCATCCATCCATCCATCCATCCATCCATCCATCCATCGATCCATCCATCCATCCATCCATCCATCCATCCATCCATTCATCCATCATCCATCCATCCATCCATCCATCCATCCATCCATCCATACATACATATATATTTCTCCCTTTCTCCATATAGGCTATCATTTGATCGTTCAGGTTCTCCATAGTTCTCCTGTGGCGCGAGCACAGGGCGACTGTTGCGCGCCATTAGCTAGCATGCGCGTTTCCTGTCGCTTGCGCGGTGAATCGTGCCGCCTGCGCTGTGCGGAGATGCAGGGGAAACCGTATCTGATGGGGAAACGCAGCTCGACGTAACAGCGGTATTTCCATGTGGAAAACGCTGTTTTGCTGCGGGAGTCCTCCTGACTCTCCATCTCTCTGTGTGTGCTGTACGTTAACACCCGCCAGCAGAAACTCCCACCTACCCAACTGTCAGACGGAATCTCACTATACATCAGCCATTCTCATCCTCCCCTCTCTCATGACAAGGCGCGCACGAGTCCTATCATGAAAAAAGGTTCATTGTGCGACCTGATTAACACGCAGTAACGGGGTGTCTGCAATGGTAACTGCGTTACAGTTACAATCAAAGTAATTGGATTACTCGTTACTTTCAACGCCGTTAGTCCCATCACTGGTCACGGCATCTTGATTCATGTCGCAGCTAATATACGCTAATACGCAGTGCTTCCGACAAACCGGCCACAACCAAATAGGCTTGCGAACCTTCCACCACAACAATCCTGCCCCCTTAATAATCGACCAATCACATTCACTTTATTCACCCGTGTAAAGTCGGGCACCACTCGGGAGAATTCGGAAATGCAACAGTTGGAACAGCCGCTTCCCTACGACTTTAAGCTTATACTTGTTATTGTTACAGCTCCACCTTTTTGACAACATTAAACCACTGTTGAACTAAATTAAAACATAAACTTCAATGAGTGTAAAGTGTAAAAAAGCGACATAAAAAAAAGGATGTAAAACATATGAACATACCTTTGTTGTGCCATATGCCATGATAATGGTTTTTGGACATTGGGAACCAGTGTCCATATTTTATCTTGACATGGTGACCAGAGAAGAGAGTTTGGTAAACAAGCATTTTGAATTAGTCAGAAAAATTTAATTAATTCTCTAATTAAGTGAAAAGCTAATTTGATCATATCCCAAATCACCTTAAACTGTAATATGGTTTTCAACCATGTTTCCCTTCCTCTTTGTCCATAGTAGTTTAACTTAGTTTAGTTGAGTTTCACTAGTTTTAGTTAAGAGTTTTTCAAATTGAAATATGTTTGACTTGGAGCTGAATGATTTTTGTTAATAAACTCTTATATTTTGAATAGAAGTTGTGGTGAATTTATTCCATGAATGTAAAGAATTAACTGTTTGACCATGATTAGAGCTCGAATCACTCTTCCATTTATTGTTCTAACATACAGCTAGTAGGGCGTGTGTCATAAACAGTATATAACAGCCAAAATAATATCTGATTAAATAAGATATTTACCACCCCTACTGAACAATAAACATCTTAAAGTATCAGAAATATAAATTCCCAGGTGGCTGGGAATTAAACTGAACATAAAATCATAACACCTTGCTGGCTCTGCCTTACTTGGAGGTAGAAATAAGGTCCTTATAAATACTTTGAGGTATTAAACTCTCAACTCAAACTGTCCCTTTTCTGTTGCCACTTGTTATACGGCTCATTTTCTGAGTTCCAATTCAGGTGCTGTTTCCTCCAAAGGCCAGATTCGTCTGCTGATTACATCATAACGCGGCGCCAAGGCCTGTTCGGATTAGAAGACTGCTCGTTACGCGGCCGACAAATGCGGCCTTGTTTTTGCAGGTTCAGGATCAGGCTGTTATCTCTGCACCACCAGCTGCTCCACCTCCTCTCTGTTGTCCAGGTCGCTGTCGTTTCTGATGAGTTCGACCTCCGTGGTGTCGTCTGCAAACTTGAAGATATGATTGGTGCTGAACCTGAGTACGCAGGTTATAACATAATTAAGAATCAGTTATCTAAATGGCTATCGTTTTCTTAATTAATGCAAATAATTTTAATTCTATCTAACCAATAAGGCTTTATTTACCACTTGTATTTTGTTTGTGAATCGACATTCAAAATGCTTCAAATGACTTCAAGAGCAAATGGCAAATGGATTTTCAAAATAAAATCCATGCTGAACCGTTATATTATTGCATGATTTTATTGATCATGGCTTTCTTCCTGTATGTACATAGTAGCTTAGTATTTTGTTGTTTTTTCCCCCCAGCATTTTATTGTCATGACACTATCGCAAGTACAGAGCAACGGCATTATCTCTCTGCATTTAACCCATCCCCTTGGGAGCAGTGGGGGGAGTTAAGGGACCCAGAGTGGCAGTCTGTGTGCAATGCCCTATTCACTCCCCAAAGCAGGGGTTAGCGAGACGGGACTTGCCCAAGCACCCACACTGGCAGTTCATTCCCCCCAGCTGGGATACAAACCCAGGCTTTCTGTTTGCAGCACAGGTGACCTACCACTTGGGCTAGCCAGCCACTAGTTAAGCTATTTTAATCCATTCTTCTATTCTTTTCTATTATTCTACATTGTTTGCATGCTATGTTTGTTAGCCTGCAAATAACTCAAACGACTGCCCATTCCTAAAGGATGGACCCGTTCTTCCGGTTCATTTAGCATGTTTTCTAAGCCAAAACAAGTTGTTGTTTTTGGTCCACTCTATAAAGCTAATTTAAAGCTATTTCTGACATTTTGAATTGAAAAAAGCTTCCTGGATGGGAAGCAGAGTCTTCAAATTTGGAAACAAAGTCCAGAGGAGACAGAAAAAGTCTCATTTATATTTATTCTTTTTATTAAGATGTGAGGGCAGAGGAGGACAAATGGAACATCTTAAAAAATGACTTTCGTAGAGATTTTAGACAAATAAAACAGTTATTCTACTTGTAGGAAACGAACGGTTGTCATTGATGTGACAATTTAAAGATTCTTTCTAATGTGGTTTAAAGCCCTGTTTTTCTCCAATTTAGTCCACATGTTTATTCAAAGTTCAGACTTGAGCAGGCTCTCTCTCTCATGCCTTATCAACCATTTGCTTTAATGGCATTGTTTGGCTTTGTCATAGTGTTTGATCAACTGCCGCTGCTAGAGGCATAAAGGCTGCGATAAGGACGTGAACTTTGACTCGGCTTCAGATAAATAATGTAGTAAAAATAATCCTCACTACAATACATCCCAAACTTCCTGTCTGCATCCGCTTTTGTTTGAAGATAATTGAAAATAATCCAGTCAGAAGGTTTTATTGTTGATCTGCTAACTTTACCACAGGGAGGTTTGTTTTTTTTTTTGCTTCACTCTGGAAGCTTTTGTCGTTGGTTTAATGGAACTGTTTGCGGTACATCATGTCCTGAGATTATCTGCGAAAAGGAACATGAGTGCCTTTAATTGAGACAATCTTACCGATCGAAAAAGAAATCGTGCTGAGCGCAAAGTTGCAAAACCTGCTGAACATTCATTTGTCAGAAATCCATCTGTTTTCCACACAAACACCTCCTGTGGTGATTACCTTCGTGGAAGACCGTTTCTTGGTATCTCAGTTTTCCTCTAATAAAAGGCCACTGTGATTTTCTGCTCCATTTTCTCTCCAAAAAGCCTCCAATGTGACACACCCCCCTGCCTCCGTCAGAGAAACTATCTCCGTCATAAAACTGTTAGAAGCAACTTTATGCACAAACAGGTCTCCCCGTCTTAGAGCCCAACCTTCTCTGGTCGACTATCACCAAGGGTGCATTTACTGTTTTACTGCCAGGCCTTCCAAAACACTCCCACAGCATGCGCTTTCCAACCGCTCAGATTATTCTGAATCATTTCACTTAAGGGCCCAGATGCTACCTGTCTGTTGGCCTTTGCTGAGAGGGTGATTAAGGCAGGCTGGTGTTGGATAAATGCGCCATACTTCTGCCTGAACGGTGGCGTCTCTTTATCTGTCATCATGTCGTGTGAACCTCGCCCCCAACGCACCCACTCTGCGGTCACCGCCTCCTTTGTTGCTGTTGTCACCGGTTGGGGAGCTTTTACTTCTTCATCAGAGTTGTGTTTGCATCATGGAGAAGGAGCTTAGCCTGGCGTTCATCTCTGACCAGCTGAATTTGCCAAACCTAAGCGGAGAAGACACCAGGATGGACGCCCAGGTGGGTTCCTGGCTTTAGAAGTCCCCGTTTGATCGGTCATGGTAAACCTCGGGAAATCTTTGTGCCTCAGCAGACTTGTCTAAAATGGTGGATCTTACGGTCACAGACTGTGTTGCTCTATCTGTTTACATCTTCACCTTCCTCCTGGGCCTTCCTGCCAACCTGCTCGTCTTCTTCGTCTACATCCGCAAGGCTCGCAAACATGGCGCCACGCCCAACGTCGTCTATGCCCTTAACCTCTGTGTGGCCAACCTGGCGTTCATGGTCTGGCTGCCCGTAAAGATATTAGAGACACTGCTAAAGGACTGGATGCTGCCGCCACCCATGTGCCCAATTTACAGCTTCTTCCTCTACCTCTCGATCTACGTCAGCTGCCTCTTCATCACCGCTGTCACAGTCGGGCGCTACCTCAGCATCGCCTTCCCCATCGTCTACAAGAGATACCGCCGGGCACGACTGTCATGCTACATTTGCGCCTCCTTGTGGTTGTTGGTGACGGCACACCTTGGGATTGGCCTGGTTGCTGAAGGCGATGCTTATTTTGTTGTAGTGGAGAATGACGTCTCCGCCTGTTACGACCATTTCAACGCGACACAGCTGAAGGTCCTGCTTCCTCTTCGCTTGGAGATGGCTGTTGTCTTGTTTATATTCCCTCTAATTGTGACTTCCTTTTGCACGCTGCGATGCGTCCTTCTGGTTTGGCGCTCAAATTTGCCTTGTTTGGGGAAGAGGAGAGTCCTGGCGGTGGCGCTGTCCACGCTGGCTGTGTTTGTGATCTGCTATGCTCCCTACAATGCCTCGCACATTGTAGGGTTTGTTCAGCATAAAAGTGTTGAATGGAGGACAATAGCGATGCTGACCAGCTCCTGCAATGTTTTCCTTGAGCCAGTGGTGATGCTGATGCTCTCCCCGGTCGTGTCCAGGGGCATCCTGGGAAGAATGTGCGGTCAGCAGAGTGACTTCAGGTGGAGCGATGGGTCTCGACATCAAGGAAAGCCTATAAGTGGGTTTACAAATATCAAGGCACGACCTACAATGTCTAAGAAGATGCAGACAGAGGGTGAGGAGACAAAGGAAAGCAAAGGATGTAGTGGAGAACAAAAGAAGCCGACCATCTTTCATATTCAGGTCTGAACCAGTTCAGATCTGCATGGTGGCTTTTAATCTCATGTTTCTCTGAACTTTTACCCAAATGATTTGGTTGAAGAGAGACAGTAGAAGATGTTGTAGGGTTAAACAGTGACTCTTACTCTCTGAGAGAAACCAAACAGTTCATTCATCCCCAGGAAACGGAGTATCTCTAAAACTGTATAAAATTTAACATTTCTCCAGCAGGAACCTTTTTTTTAAGAATCTTAATTATTATTATTATTATTATTATTTTAACAATGTCCTGTCTGGAAATGTGGCAATAAGAATAATTGTCTTGATGCCAAAAAGAGCCCAACAGATTTTGCTTTCACAAGTGGATCAGTACGGCTATCGCCATAGAGTTCCCCTTCGTTTATGCATATAAATTGCTTTATTATAATTATGCAGTGAGTTTTACAGATTATATGGACACTGCAATGTAAGTAGAACAGGAAAGGAAAAACAGGAAAAATGAGAAAATATGAAAGAAAGAGGAGATAAAAGGGAGATGATGATAAAACATCTTCAGTCTATTCATCACCTGCAAAGAGATGGAAAAAGAACAGCAGAACCAACAGATATAGTATAAGAGATACAATAAAATAGCACCTTGATACTATCACTAAAGTAGTATTATTTAATCTGTCATGTATACTGCGGTAGCTGAAGATAAGAATGTGGGCCTACTGTATGGAAGTGAATCTCTAAGTACCTGGAACCAAGCACCTGCAGTTGTTTGTGAGAGTGCACTTGTGCATGTAAAGTTTATCCAAAGGGAAAATGCTTAATAGTGGTCGTGGAGAGCCAAAGACGCGCCCCGCCAGAACACTGAGGCGAGCACCGGGGGGCCCAAAGCCCCAGACGCCCAAAGGGACCCCAAGAGCAAAGGCGCCAAGGAGGGGCCAACCCAGGAAATCTGCCGCCCACCAAGGGAGCATCTTAATTATGCTGTAAATGAACTCAGGGGCAGATTTAGAACATTTGGGGTCCTAGGCAAAGACAGAGACAACTACTGAGAGGACAACACATAAAACCCCCCCATTGTACA